GTATGTATGTATGTATGTACAAGTACGTATTTATGTAGGTACGTGAGGTCGGTCGGTCAGCCGGTCGGCAGGCAGGTACGTATAATCGTAATGCTTATGCATGTAGATATCGTATCGTGCATGTATGTACGACACAACAAACATGTACAACGATTAGTACGTTCATTAATCTACCCGATTGTTTGTGTGTGTGTAAATGAGATAACGTTCGTGTGCATGCATGCACACATCTATATATATATATACATATATATATATATAATGTACATATGTATATACAAACACAAATATACATGTGTGTGTGCCTATGTGAATATCTGAATAGGGGTTCTGATGGAAACGTAAGGTGCGGTCTCAGTCACAGAACTCGGCCCTGGAAGGTCCAGATCGCAAATCCGGCCTCCATGCTGTACCTACAGGACCGTACACGAGAGCTCAGGGTCTATTCGGTTGCTCTGAGCATCTTTTCTGAAAGAGAGGTTCACAGTTCAAGCTGTAGTGTGCATTTGGTGGATACAGGAGAGATGGACAGGGTGCAGGGACGTGTAGGGATGAGGAGTGGGGTTCGCGGACGTCGTGGCTGAAAAGTTCAAGCCTGTCTGTCTTCCGAAAGAAAGTCTCTAATATCTCAACAAGCCGAGGGCGCTTGAAGCCGCCAATTTCGTTCTGCATGGGCTGTGTCACCGCCGTAATGACGTACCTTCGGACGTGGTGATGTCTTCGTCGTTAAAGCTCACTCTTGAGGGCTGAGGGGTTTAAGCTTTACGAGCTCAGTGTATCTTCTGGGTAGGCCTCAGACAGGCAGTGGTGCGCTCAGGGCAGTGCGGTTGACACACCTTGATAGTAGAACGAGCTCTTTTGGGTGAAGGCGGCTTGGTAGCGCTGAGGCTCATGCAAAAGAAGGTCTGAAAAGCAGCTAACCAACTTGCATATGTTCCGAACCCGGAATGACTGCAGTCACAAGACGCACGAAGCAACGATCCTAGGCCCCGAATCCTTAAGCCTTCCTGCCTGGATGACGGATCCCACTGCACGTCCGTGAGCATGAAGTGCTCATCCTGGAGAAGGCTTACTCCAGGCAATCACAGACCAGACCAAAGGGCAACCAACCCACGACACAGGAGTTCAGGCAGTTCAGGGTTCAAGTTTAGACACGTTGACATAGACAGCCCGGTCGTGGGCTTAGATAGATGCTTCTTGGATGTCTGCACATGGTTGCCTACAATGTCCTTCATCGACAACATACTTGTGGCACCGCAAGAAGCCCTCCGGAGCATGAGGCTGAGAAATGGAAAACAATACCTTCGTTCCGCGCAGTTCCGCGTTTGTGCTCGGCTGCCTTCCCGCAACGGCATTAAAATCTCGCCCGCTGAAGCTTTGCGGCATCCTGCCTTCCAAAGCCCCGACCCTAAACCTCAACCCGTACACTCTAAACCCCTCATCTAGGCCCCGATATGGTCCACACCTGGTAGCTGCTACTCTGGTTGCTCAAACCCTGCGAGTTGAGTACCGTACATCTAGGAGGACCAGTCGACATCGCGGGGTGAGCTAGGTCCATCATCCCGCAGATTCCCAGAGTAACCATCAAAACCTCTCCTTGTGCAGGATCTCGAGCTTGTTGTCGCTGGTCATCCCTCCGAACAGAAGGTCTCCGTGACCCACCGCGGCGCAGACAAAATACTGCCTCCAAGGCTTGGAGACGTGCAAGGCTTACTTGGACGGTTTCGGGCGGAGGTGTGAGAGCTTTCCTAAACCCTAAACCCTAAACAACCCTAAACCCTAAACCCTAAGCCAAAATCTCGTACTTCGGGTTTCGGCTCCGGCCCTAGGCGGCAACCTAGAGCAACACGATTTCAGTGCCTGGAGTGTAGTCTTTCGCGGTGTTGAGTTCAAGGGACCAAACGTTCATACAAGTGTATGACATACTAGGGATCCCCGATGCCACATAAATATATATATATATCGTATATGTGTGTGTATATGTACTCTATATATATATATATGTATACCAACAGCCCCCTCTTCGAGCAGATGTGCATCCGAGTCACCCCTCTGGTGCCCAGAAGAAATTGTTGTAGCTGTTGGACGGCAAGTCGAAGAAGCTGAGCACTTCGCATTTCTCCTTGCCTTAGTTGAAAGACGGGATAGCAGGTCCAGGGTGATGAGGTGTGCGCTTAGACTTTGCTTACCAAACACGTTTCAATCCCGGTGGTGAATCCTAAAACAAACAGTGACTTCGAAAACAACGCAGGCACAATGCTAACTGCACCCTAAACCCCTCAACTCTAAACGGTTTCACCCGGTTCAGTCTAGCTCTCGACTACAATCTCCTCGCGAAAACAGGAGCAGCAGTTTACTGAAACCAACATGCCTTGGGCCTCGAAATCCTCCGAAACAAACTGCTGGCTCCAGGTGGCTGAGGCCGTAGATGAACATCTTCGGATGGTGTCCAGACTCATCACTGGTCAGCAAGGAGAAGCGGTGGCCCTTCGTCTCCCAGTGGAAACCTGCGAGGCAACTCTCACTGTCCGGTGCCCTGAAATCCTAAAACCTCAGGCGGCTCATGTTCATGCGAGTCAGGAACTCGGGTTGCATGAATCCTAGGGGTTTTGCATTGGTGCAAACCTTTCCTGGCAGGCATTGCAACGGGATGAGAGAGGGCTTCCGGACTTCAGGGTGGACAGGAGTCGGGCAGCGGCGCACTGCACAATCGAGCGTCCTGTGAAGAAGCGGGCCTGTAGACAAAGGACAAAGTGTGACAGGAGCAGTAGCAATGATAGTAGCAGTAGTAGTAGCAGTAGTAGCAGTAGTAGTAGTAGTAGTAGTAGTTGTTGTTGTTGTTGGTGGTGGTGTTGGTGTTGTTGTTGTTGTTGTTGTAGTCGACGTCGTCGTAGCTACAACCAATAGCAAATGAAATCCTATAAACCCTAAACCCCTAAACCCTTACACCCTCAAACCCTTACACCCTTAAACCCTGAAACCCTCAAACCCTTAAACCCTTTAAACCTAAAACCCTGAAGCTGCAGGCACGGCCTCGGACGGAGTCTTTGACCTCGACGATGTCCACAGGGATGTTCTTCTCCCGGATGCCTGGGGCGTAACTAGGATTTAAGGCTTTAGGGTTTAGGGGGGTTGGGGATTTAGGGTTTAGGGTTTAGGCTTCGGGGTCTAGGACTTGGAGGATTTTCCAAGGGATGTGGGTGAGGGTTTCAGGATGGTCGGGCCGTCGGGTCCAGAAGTCAAGGCTCCAGGGTTTCGGGGTTTAGGGTTTAGGGTTTAGGGTTTCGGGATGCGGGGCTTTGGATTGAACTTCAGGCAAGGACGGGCAAAAACTAAGAGAGCTATTGTTGCGATTCTTGAATCTGCAAGGGAAGCACCCAGATCCCCCCAACAGCTTCGTGTCGCAAGGGCCGCTCCGTAGGGTTGCAAGAAGTCTCCACAAACAAGACACTCAGGGTTTAGGGTTTAGGGTTTAGGGTTTAGTCAGGATGTTGGGGTTAGGCTACTGTTGAGATTTAGGTCATGGTCTCGGCCACGGGGGCTGAGGGTTGAAGGTGACCGCTGCGTGGCTTGGGGGTCTTGACGGTTCAACAGTTAAGGGCTATGTTTTGGCATTGGGTAATTTCTCTTCGCGCTTCTTCTCTTATCCTAAACCCTAAACCTGAACCCGAAACCCTCAATTCCAAACTCTTGTGCGGTCGAGCGTGCGGGATTGTGTTTGACAGCAGAACTTACAACAATAACTATTACAACAATACTCGTATGTTGAAACTTGCTGTTACTAACCAGACTCATGGTACGGTAGTCGTGCTGGCACTAGCAATCAGCACGTGTAAGACACAAGAGCAACGACAACAACAAGAATGATGACAACAACAGCAGCAGAAACAGCGGACGAAGAAGAAGTCCCTATGTCTTCAACACTAGCAGCCACGAAATGGAGTATGCATCATCAGCACCACCATCATCGTCGCGTCCGAAACCTCAAACATCATGTCCCGAGGAGCGGAAAATCTCGAGGTTTGTCGCGCCCTTCTTCTTGGTCCTGGGCTCTGAAAAGAAAGGGAAGCCGAGAAGAAGTGAGAGAACCAGGCTTTCGGGCTCTTCTCTGCCCGAGTTCTTAGGGTTCAAGGTTTGGGGGTGGAGGTGCTGTGGGACTCTATGCCGCAGTTCGGGATTTAGAGCAGGAGGTTCAGGATTCAGGGTGGAGGAATTTCGTCGCTGACCATGTCGGCTCTCACATTGGCATTCTCAGAATCAGGTAAGACATGACGTGATCTCAACAGGCAAGAAACAGATCTGTGCAACCGGGTGCAACAGCCAAAGCTCCGAAAGTAAACAAGCAGTAAGGTGCAAACAGCTCCGGGCCTGCGTCGGTAACGCCCCAGTGTCAATGAAACATAGGAGCATGCTGGGAACAATGAAACATAGCTATAGCACCTTTTGAGCTGTGTCCACACCAAAATAGATTCAGTGTGCTTCATCGTCTTGGAATCCCCGACCACGCCCTCGCAGACCGCTTAGCCATTCCTGTGCCCCAGTGGCCATGATAAATAGAACACGGCTTCGGGCCAAACCGTCTTTTGTTGGGACTTCCTTATTCCGTAAGCTCCAAAGTAGCCGATCCCCCCCCCAAAAAAAAGAAGAAAAAAAAACTCCATCCACAATAGCGGTGCGTGGTGGAGTCCTTATCAAAAACGCACCGGGGGGTTTAGTGCAAAGAAGAGAGCTTTGCGATTTAGTGAAACATGCCCGAGCTCTCCTTCTTCCTGTTTTTTCAGGGGGACCGGGGAATTGGTAATGACAGGTCAGGTAGCTTACAGAGTCTCGACCGACATGTAACGTGCTTACCCCCCCCCCCCCAATCCTTCAAGTATCCGATCCGAGGAGGTGCGCTCATAGTGACGTTCAGGGCAACGACTCTTGTATGCGTCATCGTAACAGCCACTATGACAAGAATGAAACCAACAATATTGCCAGTGAGATCGATCCTGTACATGCCTTCAATGGAGACATGTGCGTAGCCCGTATTGGCCGCACTGTCATAGCTAATGTACTTGTAGCAACAGACATGGCTGGAACCAGCGCAAAGACCTGCATAACGGTCGCAACAGCAAGGACGATCAGAATGGCAACTTAAATGCACTCAAGCAGGCCTCGTTTCCGGGTCCCATGACAATACATCTACGAGCCAAAGGCATTTATCGGACTCGTGGCGCATGGAAGCACTTCCCAGCTCGAACCCGACTTAAACCCACACCATTTGAGCCGGAGAGGCTTGCTAAGCTTGGTGTTGATGAGGCAAAGGTAGTCGCCCTGACGGTAAGACTCTGAACCAGAATCACTAAATCTAATGATCCTCAACCCTTGAAGCCCATAGGCAGAATGCAACAGAAAACACCCCGAGGCCAAGCCCCATTGAACAATTGGGCCGGGGCGCGCAGATTCAGCCACGCACACTTCCAAGGAGGCTAAGACTACGCTAGCCTTTCAATGCTGTTCCACCTGTTGCAGGTTGTCCTGATACTGGGGAAGCACTAGTCGCGACAGCAGCTACCGAGGCAATGAGAGCGGCGGCAAAGGTGCAACAGTACCAGCTGTCACAGAACCAGCAGCAGTGAGCACAAGCAGCAGGGCCGCGGCAAGCAGCGGGAGCAGAGGGAGCAGAGGGAGCTGCAGTAGTCGTAGCTGGAGTCCTTGCAGTAATAGTAGCAGTAGTAGGAGGCAGCAGGTAGAGTCCTAGTCGCAATCGCAGTCGTAGTGGCAGTGGTAGTGGTAGTAGCAGTCGTCGTCGTCGTAGTGGTCGTGGCGTTACTGGTAGTAGTGGTGGCAGTGGGGGCATCGGCAGTTGATGGTGCTAGTTGGTGATCGTGATGCTAATGGTCATTTTAATGGACTCTGCACCGGCGCACAGCCTAAAGCCCTAAACCCTCAAGCTCGGCGAAACCAGCCAACAAGTTCCCAAGGGATTGGATCAACTGCAAAGCTGCCCGGGCAAAAGTGCCCATCATCACCCTCCATATCAGTACCTAGTGCTTCCTAACAAACGGACTCTTGCCGTAGGGACAGTTAACCAAAAGGTCAGTACCAGTAATGAGGACACTGACGGCTGTCCGGATCGGCAGTCAGTGACATCATCCAAAATCTTAGCCAACCCATTCCGGAGAGCCTCGTAAGACCTTCGAACCTGTGGAAAGCATCTAAAGCCTAAACCCTGCATCCGTTGGAGATCCCTCTGCCGCCTCGGACTGCCAGTGCATTGAGGCCTCCACCTCCCGCTTGCAAGCGTAAACAAGAACTTCCGAGCGATGGGGGCCTTACTAATTTGAATAGGGAGTTGACTGCAGTTGTACGGAGACTATAAGGGAATACTCTTACTATGTATTCCGATCCTTATATTAGAGCGCTAGTGCTTTACGGCTGTCGGGCTGCAGGGTGGTAGGATTTAGGCTACGGTCGTTTGAGATTTAGGAGGTAGAGTTTCAAGGCTGCGACTTTGGGTTTTTTAATTTTTGGCTGCAGATCCTCGGGTTGAGCAGGACCTACTCCGGTCTATAATGAGGCAGTGCAAGCTGAAGGAAAACACCTGTCAGGCCGCTTTCTCCGTGTCATTGAATGCTATTGTCAATACTGTTTATACTAAAGCTAAACTAGTAGCAGACAATGGTAGGACTCAGACCGAATTCCGAATCAAACGAACCCATCTCCCAAACGCCAGGACTGCACCGAAAAGCAGCACGAGCCAAAGACTAAAGCACACCGGCGAATCTCAGAAATCCTAGCAACCGCCCCCGACTTTCAACCCCCGCAACTGCCACACCCTAAACTCTAAACTCGAAAAACCCCCCACACGCAGCAAAACCTCCCCGTGCCGCCTGCGTTCGAGACCGAGACGCCAGCTCGCGACGCGACGGGATCTCAACGAGGACCTGGACTTCAGACTTTTAGGGTCTCGCATTTTGGAGCTTTAAAGGTCTTGTCTTCAACAAGCTCAGGGTTTTAGGGTTTAGGCGGTTTAGGTCTTGAGGCTTTAGGGCTCAGGGTTGAAAAATCTGGGGGGTTTCAGGGTGGTGGGTTTGCGCGCCTTGGCGCTTTGGGGCTCGGGCTTAGGCCTTCAAGGCTGGCTTGGGAGCTCTATCGCATGCCCGAAGAGTAACTAGCGGTTTCCTTTAAGGTACAGTCTTTAAACAAAGATAGCGACCACAGAGGTTGGAATTGTTTTGTCTGAGTGCGTCGGCGTAGTGAGGTGGCGGACTTGGGGTTGCAGGGATTGCGTTCGGGGTTTAAGGCTGGCATGGGGGTCTAGGGTTCAGGCTTCGGGCAGGGAAGTTCTCCAGGCTGGGACTCTGGTCACGCTTTCCACGGATTTTGGGTACCGTGCGTCTTGCATGCTCTTGAAACTAGTTGCCTGTGATGTGCGCATGCTTTCTCGTGTATGTGTACTGTTGCCTTTGGAAGACATACTGCACATAGCAGAGAACAATAACATCAACAAAAAAGAGTCTCGCCAGCGACCATTTTGGTAAGCTGAACAGGCTCGTGCTCAAAAACGAAGATACGGACAGAACACGTTGGCTGATAGAATTCATGCCGCAAAGATGCCAATCTGGCGGGATTGTTCTCCTTCTCCAAGCACCAAACGCTAAGCAGGTTGTCCTCCCAAAACCACGCTTGGACCCGGCGGCTTCACGGTTTCGGGTTCGAGTTTTGAACCTGGGGAAGGTCTCCAACCTGAGGAAGTCTTCCAAGGGGCAAAGTATGAATAATGCTGTTAGCAAGCACACAATGTACATGTGTTCCGGGGCCAGTGGCCGCAAGAATGGCAAATGCTGGAGGCAAAGGGTGGAACTTCTCGCACGACGCATTAAACCCTCATCTCTCAAGTACGATGGGCGGCTTCTGGGCAAGAGATGCCGCCTACCCTTCTTGCTATGGTCATTCTCTAGCTACTTCTGCCGATATCCTTAGCTTTACCGCCATTCTGAGCATTTGTGCTGCGAGTGCTGTTACAAGCAGTACAGTCGGCGCGGTGGTGGAAGCGCGCCGTGGGAATCGTGGCATTAGCAGTAGTAGCTTAGCAGCAGCTGTATCATTACGGCCATCGCGACACCAGAATTGCGATTGTTGCAAGGATTGCCAACGCTGGACATTTCCTATTCCTTCGTTAGTAATATATATATATATACACACACATATATATATATATACACATATACATATATATATATGTATATATAACTGAATAGTTCTCGAATCCCTCTCGTCGTCACTGCCACAGAGTCATGGACTGAGCATCAACAACAAGAACAACGACCACCACGACGACGACACTGTCATTCAAGAGGTAGTACCAGACAAAGCTGCACAAGGGTCCTTCGGGGACCACTGGAAGGTGCTAAGCTCCGGGAACTTCAGCGTTCGCTTCTTCCCGTCCTCATCCTTCGGCCGGGCCGGAATTCATCGTTTGAATCTTCAATCTCAAGGCTGGTAATGACAATATTTCTGTCACCAAAATGTCCCCAGCTGGACTTGTGATGCTATTGCGGGCACAGGCTGCATCACGTGCTCATTCCGAAACTCTTCACGCCAAAACCTACATAAGAAAACCAGGCTCTGGGAAGTTATGCCCCGGTCGAGATGTCAATACACGGCCGCCTAACCCCAAACAAACTTCTCGGGCCAGGGTACTCGGGTGTTCTTGTTGATTCCTATTGTAGTGCTCGTAGAATCAACAGCTAAGCCTTGAAGGCTGAGTCTTCAAGCTTGAAAGTGATCGAGCACAGCGCCTAGGGCCTAGAGCTTCGGTCTAAAGAGCCAGCGATGGCTTTGGGTGTTCAGGTGAGGGTCTTCTCCGTGGCCGTTTCCTTGCAGGACCACAAGAAGACACGAAGTCTTTTCTCTCACCACAAGGAGCCGACTTCAAACCATGAAGCTTAGAGGTCAGACCTGTTACGGGCCTTCTTTGTGCGAGTGCCCCCCAGCCTGGTAGTTTCCTCCTAGATGAGATCCGTCCACGCCCTAGCCTTCAGCCCATGTAAACGAGTTTATACAGACTCATCACCTTCCCCTCTGGCCCCCAATCACCGTGTAAGTTTGAGCAGGCGGAGCCTTGATGAGCTGGAAGGTGTCGGTCTCGCGAACGGAGATCGATGCCTCATTGCACTCGGCGAAGTACTTGCCGTCATGGCCTTGGCTCATGTTCGGGTAGGGTTTAGGGGTCTCGAGGTTCAAAGATAAAGGAACAGGGAGGTGGTGAAGAAACGTCATCGTCGTCATCGTTGCCAACCGTCGGCTGTTTTAAGGCTGCTTCCTTCCTTTTGGACACGTCTGTGTCGGGTTCATGAACCGTGGAATTGGCGCAAGAAAGCAAGTAGTCGAGGCCGACATGGAAAGAAACCAACCACGAGGCGAAGAACAGCGATCTCGAAGGCTGCGAGACCCCGAAAGCCCTAAAGCTCCAATCCCGTCGGCTCAAGCGTAGGGTCTGCAGAGCATCTCAAAACCCCTAAACCCCCCCGAAAGCTAAAAACCCAGTCCTCTAAGCCTTTTCGGCCATCGATGACCCGAGACGACATCCCACGAGAGGCCCCAAGTAAATCCAGGCCCGGCGACTCCAAAGGAAGTGAGGGAAGTCTCCGCCCAAGGGGGCGACCGCTGGCGTGCCTCGGGCCCCAAGCTGTCGGGCTCCGGCTTGTGGAGTTTTGCGTTCGGGGTTGCAAGCCTCCAACAAAAAGGTGCCCCCTCCAGACGGGATTCATGAATCCAGTAGCTCTGAAGGCAGGGTGCCCGTAAGTAGAAGGTTCTCTACACGAACTCCCACCACACAGCGAAGCCCTACGCTTGAAAACTCCACAGGCACAAAAGCCCCACAGTAAAGCCCCCGCGGGCGTCAGTAGGCCCTCCTTAAGCGGCAGCCCGGGCACGGCAATTGAAGACGCTCTCACCCGTCAGGACGCGATGGATGCGCACGGCCTGACAGCGGACTGCTGTATTGGGTCGAGTTCACACCTCCCCACAGCCCCCAACTCTTCCACAGCCATCCCGAATCTCTTTCTTAAACCACCCGTTTCACCCAAGAATCAAAATCCCCAGCCCTTCGACGCCTGCGTGTCGTTCTCTAGCGCCGACGTGCCGTTCCACGTCAGGGCATACTCCTCAAACTCGGATTCAGCGGCCCCACACCTTTGCCCCAACACCGAAGAACAGCGCTGCCACCAGGAAGAGGAGAGGGAAGAAGAAGAAGAGGGGAGAGTGAGAAAGGTGGGAATCTGCCATTGAATACGAGGAGTCCTTAAAACAGCGATGGTTGAGCCAATCTAACCATCACCAGCACCAACCACGACCATCTTTGGAAACAGCACAGAGAAGTACCGACATCCTGCAAGGCTCTCATTCAAGGAACTCTCTGAATCAACCCCTGAGTCCTCAGTCCGAAAGACCGAAGCCTTGAACCTCTAAACCGCCCAAAAAGCCCACAAAAAAAAAAGAAGGAAAGCTGAACCGAACAGAACTCCGCCATCCCGGTTCCTTTGAAATCTCGACCCTCCGGGCTCCTCCGTCGGCGAGAATTCCAAGTACCTGGAGTTGGGGCCGGCGGGGGTTTGGGGTTTTGGGGGGGTGTGGGGCCTCCCGCTTGGAGTTCAGATCGGGTGCAGAGATGAGGATTGAAGCCAAGACTGGTGCCCTGTTGGGGCCATATTGAAAATGATCATCTTTAATCCTTATTAGGGTTTTATTATAACAAAGATGTAAAATTGTATCCATGAAACGCCAAACCCTGAAAACCCACCCCAAAACCCACCCAAAAGTCTACAAACCTCTACACCCCTTGACCCGCAACTGCGCCCGGATGCTTCACGCCGTCGTGGGCGAAGCGGATCTTCTTGGTAAACTCAGGGCCGCCCCAAAGGGCCACACCCTGTGCCGGCGGATTTGGGGGGGGGGGTGTGTTAGGGTGTAGAGTTTTGGGTTTGGGGTGTTCGGTTTGAGGAAGTCCTGGCAGAACATCAGAGATTGTGGTTGTACTGTACTGAGCCTTACTACTGTTTGTAACTTAGGGTTTGGGGGACTAGGGGTTGCAAGCACAAAAAACAAACTACCCAGGGACGTGCTGTGGAACGGCGAGCTCACATTCACATGCTGCCAAAGAGAGAGGTCTGCAAATACGCTACCAGCGCTTATACAGACAGGCTACAGCAGCTCGCATTCTGCAAGAAAAAATGGAAGGCCGCCAGGGCAACTAACAACTACAAACCATGAAGCACCACGCTACCCAACACTCAGACAAACAATCCAGGCCCTCCCCGGAATATCGAAAGGCCACCCCCAAGTCTCAGCCAAAAGCCCGGATGCGAAAAAACGAAAACTCTTTAAGGGTTCAGGATTTGAAGGCGAATTCAGAAGCAAAGTTTGGCCTGCTTGTGAAAGGTCGTCAGGAAGTGGCCCAGAGGGGACCACTGCACCTGCGACGCTGGGGGCCGAACAGTGTCAGTTCGAACTTCGGTGCTAAGCTAAGCAAGGGTCTCGAGTATAAGATTCAAGATTTAGCGTTCCGGAATCTTGGGCTGCAAGGGCTTCGGTTCTGGAGTTCAGCAGCTTGATGGCTGCCTTCCTGGTCCTGGACGCTCTTCGCGCTGAGACTTGCAAAGTAGAGCCCTGGATCCAGTGAGATCTTTTGACATCGTCTCTGAAACGTCAGATTAAGGGCTTGCGGCTCGAGGGTTCGCGCTGTGGGGCGCTAGACCCGGAAGCCCAAAGGCCCTCCCAAAGGCCCGCCTAAAGCCCCACCTCGAACCCTAGACCAAAAGCCGGCACCCGCGCACTCTAAACCAATGAACGTCATACGTTTCGTCGACAGCACTTGGAGGTTCATGGGTAGTTATAAGTAGGGTTATAAGTCCTCTAATATGGGTTATAAGGATAGTTACCCTGGTTATAACCCCATTTATAACTGCCCATGAACCTCCAAGCACCGGCCCTTTCCATGCGTTCCGCCTGCCAGTCGCACCAAATCTTTCCTGTGCGCTTCTCTCGCTCTCCACCATAGGAGAGAGTCGGCTCGCCTGGCAGATCAAGGAGTTGGGGAAATTGGGGCTTACCCGGCTTACCCTAAACCCCTAAACCCTAACACCCTAAAACCCTGAACCCTAAACCCTAAACCCCTAAACCCCGAAACCTTAAGATCTGGGTAGGCAGGTCCGACGACCAGGGTTCAGAGCATGATGATGTTCTCGTCTTGGTTCAGGGCTCTTAAGGCGTCTGAACGTGGAGCACCTTCGGGCTCTGTCTATCTTCGAGGCAGACGTTAGAACCCCTTACTCCGATGATCGACATCAAGATCTTGCGGAACGGCCGTACTTCCTGTATGCTCGCTACAAAAGAACATTGCCTATGGTCGTGTCGTGCCAGTAGATCTCTGTCTCTGTCTGGTACCGCAGCAGGAACCTGGGATGCACATTGCGCAATCTGGTGGGCCTTTCTTTTCAATCGAGTGTATGCCGGTTAGCTCTTCAAAAACCACGGAAGGCTGTTTATAATAGCAGTCTATCATCGGGGCCTTTGTCAAAACAGTCTGTTAGGGTACTGTCCATGAAACTCATCTCCCGAGTTGCCACAGCAGTTGAGTCTCCAATATTTCTACCTCGGGAGCACGATTCATGCCCAGGCCCAATCCCCTAAACCCAAAATACCAACAATCCCATCTGCCACAAGCCTTCAGGAGCAGCGGTCAAACTCCTACCCAGTAGCGCCTATCCTTGCCTGGGCCCTAATCCGTTCGAATCACCACCCTAAACCCCAGAGCCCGAAATCCCTAACCCTCCGCCGCGCAGCTGCTCACGGCACTTCGTGTCCGTGAGCCACGTTCGGAAGTCAGTCCGAGAGTAGCTGGCGAGAGTACGCCTTGGCCTGAAGTCCTGTAGAAACAGATCCAGTTTGGGGTCTCTGTGAAGTTTAAGGGGCTGACCAGAGACGTCGGAGCTCACGGCTTGGGGTTGTGGGCCATGGGTCCTTACGATACTTTAGCGTCCAAGGCCTCAAGACTGAGGGTGTGAGTGTTTCAGACTTGCCGAGTCTGAGATGCGACCCACTCATCTCAAACGCTTCGCACTGACATGCTTCAACCGACAACCTGTCCTCATCTCGGTTCGTGATGTCGTTGAACTGGTCCAACTTCACGACCTTTGCGCCCAAATATGGAGGGCTCAATGAGGGCTAAGTGTCGAGGGCATCTGTTGTCTGCTAAGAGATTGTCCTTCATCCCTGACAAGCGGCTGTCACCCCGTGCCATGCCGGAACCTCCCTCAATCCCTATGCCTGCCGGCTGTCCTGCGCATGCTGAACCCAAAAGGCCTCATACTCTGAACATCCAAGTTGTCCATGAACCTCCCTGAGGCAGCGGGGTCGCTCCAAACTCGACGGTGGACTCAACAGTGGAGACGAAACAGAGGCAGAGCTCAGGAAGCCCTCTCGACGAGGTGCCTTGAAGGTGTGCTTCTTGTCTAAGCTCATGCCATCCAGGGCCTCGCAACATGATCCTTTCTCGTCATGATAACGAGATGTGTATCTATCACCATAACCATCGCTGGAATGACGTTGTATTCGGGGTACAGGGCTAGGGATCGAGGCCTCGATGCCAACAATCTTCCCGGCCGTCAGGTGGGGGGGCAGACATGCAGGACGTGAGAAGGTAGCTCGCACAACGACTTGCTTTGAAGGTTGCACTTTTCAGCATGTACGGCAACGCACATGACGAAATTGTGGTTTCTAATGATGTTGACATTAAGCAGAGCCTATAGTATCTCGCAGTACAGCACCATCGCCATCGTCATCATCAGCATCATCATCATCAGCCGCATCATCAGCTTCAGTGTCGTCAGCATCAGCATCAGCATCATCGTCATATTCATCTTCATCATCATCACCATCATCATCATCACCATCATCATCATATCTAAGTTGTCATGCAGTTCACTGCAACCCGATGCAAATCAACAGACAAGCGTCCCAGTCATCGTAGCTCTTTCATCCCAGGGAGGGAGCAGTGAGGCTTCCGAGTCTTGGGCTGTTCGAGAACAGAAGAAAGCAGGTAGAAGATAAGAGAAGAAAACAGAAAAGGACGCCGAAGAGAGGTGGGTTCAGAGCCTTGCAGGAGAGACGGCCTCAAGTTTGGTTCTGGGTGGGGGAGTTGCAAGGTGTCACAGTCCAAGGGCTTTCAAGCGCTCTTGGGCTCCTTGAGCTTTCGGGTCCGGTGTGAGTGAGACTGAACTCAAGTACCCAGAACTCCACCAAAAAGCCGTCTGTCGCAGCGTAGAGGCCGTTTAGCTTGAGGGTTGGCTAGACCACGAGACTCAACCTTTCGGGAAAAGGACCCCCCATGGATCCAGCGCGCCTGCTGCGCCTGAGTGGCTGCATCGGACGACTCATACGTAATGAGGACGCAGCCCTCCGTCATAGTGCCTTCTGTCTGGTCAGACTTGAAGGCAGAAGGGGCTTGGGGTAAAAGGGACTGAGGAATTCGAGAATGTAAGGTGGATTCATTCTGAGGTTTGGGTCATGATGTCGAGTCTGTTCCGAGCCTCTGACGCTTTCGCTGTTCCTGCTCCTGCTGTTGCCACTGCAGTACTACCGCCTGGAATACTGGTACATGGCATCACGACGAGCCCAACACGACCGTGGCCTGCTGCGTTGAAGGGCATCTCTTTTTCATTGTCGCCGTACTTGTTGAACAGCTTCGAGATCACACCTGCAAAAGGTGCGAGGCAGCTGCTGAGGCTTCTGTCTGCCTTTGCGAACGACGATAAAGTCCAGTCATACCAGCTATCGTAGTAGCTGTGTTATACTACACGGCATTGGTGTTGTCCTTCTTGTTCCCTGCGTGTGACAATTCATGCCCCAAGACCGACGAGCAACGCCGACGGAATGTCCACCGCGTCAGATGCAACCCTGGCAGCTGCTCTCCCTGGGACTTACAGCAGGGATTGGGGCTTAGGATTTTAGACTGTAAGACTTTGCTGCAGCCGGCCGAGGCCTAGGAGTTTGTCGAACTTCTCCTTTGGCACTTGCGGGATGCCGGAGACAATCAGCGTGCCTCGGGCGCTCTGCTCTGAAGCTACTAACCTAGCAACCGAACGGCTTCTAGAGTAACAAGAACCCACCCCGGACCGTCTTAAGCTTTAGGGCTTCAGCCAGAGAGCTTTGGGCTTCACCAAAATGGTTATTGCCCCCCGCCGTCCCCGGCCACAGTAACTTCAAACAGAAGCCCAGGCGCTGGGAAAGCTCTCGTCCAGCCGCAGAGGCTCTTCGAGGGTGTCGATGTCCTCGCCTTCACCTGAAATGTGGGGCTGTGTTCTTGAAGATGTGGGCTCGCTTTGCGGTGCTTGAGAACATGTGGGATCGCTACATCAATACTGACTAGTAACAGTATGATCCTGACTCTGGACCGATACGCAATGCGCTTCGACCTTGACGTGCGGGGCCCTCTGCAAAGCAGCGTGGGATGGCAACTCGAAGACATGGGGGCATGCAGGGCAAGCTTTTCTGGTAAGCTGGCTTAGAGTTCAGTTTGAAAGAGTTGCTCTCCATTCTTTTCCCAAGGCCGTAAGCCTAAAGAAACAACAAATCTCCCGAACCTAAAGATCCCTGAACCCTGAAGAAGAACACAGCCCTCTGCCTAAACCCTTAAGCCTAAAGCCTGAGGATAAGGATCCCTCAATTTCTGAGGGCCGGACCGTCAGAAATGAATTCGAGAAGGTCCTCCTCCTCTCTCTCCTCGAGCTCCTTTCATCGAGGACATGATGCGTTTCTGAGGGCCTAGTGTATAGAGTTTGGGGTTTAGAGTCTATGGAGGAGGAATGCTCAGGCTTCTGCTCGGATGGGCGGCTCCTTTCCTAGGAGCTTGGAGGCCTGGAGGCCTGGGAGATCATCAGGCAAGGATCCAAGATCCAAGAAATATCCGGAAGCCTGCGCCCATGATCCCTAAATGTCAGGCTCAACTCCTACCCCTGCAGCAATAGTAACCTTTACCGATCGTATGAGCATTGGCACCATAGTTCTACGATGTAGATACGCTTTGTTGCTCGTCGTCGTCATCGCGCGTACTGGTAGCAGCACTAGTAGCAGCGCTAGTAGCATCAGCAGTAGCAGTAGC